AACCATTGCTTCATTCAGTACAATGTTGCAGCAGTGATAGAAGAACTTAATCCTTACATCCTGTTACACATGGTGTGTGTGTGTCTTTTTCCACCGAGCCTGTGTGCTTTCTGTATCTGCCAACACTCTGACACTGTCAGCTTTTCCTCATACTTTATCTGGTCAAATGCCATTGTGCTGTGCATGGGTGTAAAATTTGTGCGGTGCATAGTATATGTGGAGACGTGCTGTGTGTTATTGTGCACAACAGGAGGTGGTTGGTAATTGGCTGATTAAAATCTCATAAGACTGATAAGAAAACTTGGAGTTATTCACATTTTACATATTGAAACATTCTTATTTTCTTAAATCACGTTCTATTCTTTTTATTATAGTTATTTATGAAACAGTTTATGGTTAAACTGTGAAATATATTTGTCATAAGGTTTTGTAATTTTAGGATTAAATATAAATTTCAGCCAAAATATCAGTATCAGAATTTTTTACTCCTTAATATCAGTATCAGCCATCTAATATCTGGATTGGTGGGACTGTGGATTTAAGGATCGTTTGCAGTGGCACTCATTTCAGTATGGTGCAATGGATGGTGTAAGGTTCTTATGAAGTTGCTGTGAAGAAACAGGTGTGTGTGCTATTCTCTTTGTGTGAGTCTTAACAGGAAGACGGGAACAGAAAATTGTCAAAATAACAAAAGGCGACAGATCTGTCCCTGCAGGACCTGAAACATTTCACCTTTACAGAGGAACGAGGCATGAAGGAAGAAGCACCTGTGGAAGACTCGTTTTCGATCTCACACCAGAAAGATCCATCATTATAACTGGACTGGTTCCAGTAACATTCAGAGAGATAACCACTCTGCACTTCATTCTGTGAGGGACATTTCCACCTGAACAATTATCTCACATGCAGTTAATCTGATGCTGCTAATCTCAATTCATTAGTGGAGCAGTGTTGTAACAGCGCAGGGCAAACCTGTTCTGGGGGTTATACATAACTATAAATAAAAAGAAAACACATATAACCAAATATACAGAATTTGAAAAATCTTAAAAGATAAATACACATATGTTCTGCATTGTTTAAAGGTTTTCATATTGGAGAGGTATCAGCAACAAGAGCTGATACCAATACATCTGTGAAAGGTTCATATCTGCAAATATTATTGGCCGATTGATATATTGGTTGGGTTCTAACAAGTAGCCCCTCCCATTAAAACAAAGACTCAAAGTTTATTCTAAAAAACATTAGCCACGAAAAGCACTAACTTGCTCTCTTTTTATTGAAATAGTTTTTGTAATTAAGACGCTCTATTTTAACTGATTTTCCAGTGGTGGCAGATGTTGGCGTCGCTTCAAGACAAAGTAACATCTGTCACGACTTACTGCAACTCACATCAGACACACACAACATCTCCGAGCAACACCATGGCCAGTGGATGATATGTCTGGTGCAGTGAGCCAGCACAGAGCTGATGTGTGACAGTGTTTCGCAGCAAGGTTATTGGCCCGTGGTTTTATCTCTGCGGTCGGATCGACGATATCCAAACAGGGTTGGTCAGGTTGTAGTGATGGAAATTCCAACTCAGTGACACACTGACATATACTTACTGCACTCTGTGCCGCGTACAGGCTCTGGTAGTCCAGTGCAGGCCCCGGTTCTATGCGGGATGGCCACTCTCCATCGAGAACCCGTACTGTCACACTCTGTGTACTCGTAGTAGTAGTCTGTCTGCCAATTGCACAAGCACACATCATCAAACATCTTCGTAAGAACTCAGCTGCCACAACAGTGTTGAATGCAAACATTAAGCAAATGGGGGCCAGAGTCAGGGCAGGAAAACACCACACCCAAATCAGAGCCCTGAGTCATCTCACTCTGGGTGAATCAAAGCAGACGACGTGGATGGAGCGCATCCGTTAGCAACAAGTACTGACTTTAACTATGCACATCCTGCTGCTCAGGTTTACAAAAGACAGCTCTGGTGACGGCGTTATCTCTCCAGACACGACTGCTCTTCTGCCCTGGATACACAACATACCATCTCCACGGTGATTTCAGCAGGGGTGAGGGCAGCAGGGGGCTATAACAGGCAGGAGGTGTTTTTTGTACCAGCAGCTTTGAGAAAACACTTGATTGTGTAACGCAGCAGAGTGAAATCCATAAGTTTAATGTTCTCTCCTCCACACACACACGCAGCCTCTTCTCCATTGTTCTATATACAGAGCAGGGCGGCCTCATTTATAACAGTTTACATAAGGTTGCTCCTTGAGCCAAACCAGAGTTTGACACCGTGTGTGTGGGTGTGTGTGTGTTTGTGAAGACAGAGCGAAGCCACACAGCTGATAAAGGACATGAGGAATAAGGCTGGACATCATTTATAGACCAAAGTTTTAAAAATCAAACTCTAAAACACAAGAAATCTACTATGTTGCACTGAAAGCTCAATATATTGGTCAATAACAGACGTGACAAACTATCAGTGTGATAGCTTCTACTTCTTCATTTAAACAAACATGGGGCAAACTTTGATGATGATGATGTTTTGTCATTGTGATGCTGCAGGCCGATAAGTATGTATGACAAAACGAATTTCTTTCAAGGTGGTCTATCGTAATAATATCTTTAGATCTGATTACACTGTTAATCTGAATAATTGACGCTCCGTGCACTTTGAATATGTCTGTCATAGCACTTCTCAGTTCATATTTTATTGTGCCCTTATACCTCAAACCTATTGGTCATACTGTGCGTTTAAAGGTGGAAATCATGTCACAGGCACCCTGCCCATTTCATGATTTAGGATAACCCTTTGTTATCTGTTTGAACTTAAACCTCGTTATAATTTAGGAACTGTTGTCAGTAACTGATATCCAAGACTTTAAATAGTCACCTCACAGCACGACAGCCTCTACTTCTTCATTTAAACCAAGATATCAGCCATATGCAGGAGTCCTGATGCACAAGAACCTAAATCTTGTGGTTTAGCAACATACAGGGCTTAAGTCATCTCTGCTGGTGTGAGAGCAGGGATTGAGCAAATAACATATAAGGAATGTTACCCCTCTATCTATCTTGGGACAGTGAGTGTGTGTGAGTGTGTTGAGTGCTGCCAGCCTGGGCTGAGTAGGTGTCGAGCTGAGACACAGCAGAGGGAAGGAAAGGCCACTCCATGCAGGAAACTGATAACAGCCTGACCGAGTATTACACCATGAGAGCACATTAGAGATTCATTGCTCCTCCATGTTGGCTCAGATTTGTCAAAACAGAGGAAGCATCGAGTTGCGTTTCTTCTACCATCACACCATGAATCAATCCGGATAGGTGTCCATTTCAATTTCATTTCACATGGACACTGGGGCTGCCACCTCAGTGTGTGTGCATCCACAGCGGCTCAATCAGTGCGTAATTGTTAGATTCCCATCCCCCTGTGTGGAGCTCTGGCACCTCAAACCCAGGCGGTGACAAAGGATGAAGCCTCGCATCTCTCACCTCACTGCACTGCCGCTGTCCTTTGGCCCCGTCAATCAGCCGGAGCGAGCCGAGGAGGAGAGCGCAACTGGCGACGCACCAAGCCGAGGACCGCATCGTGGATCATCCAGGGTGAAGGGGTGGGAGGAAAAACCAATGACAGCCCGGATCCAGCAGAATAATATCTATACAATAACGATAATAATAACAATGAACCTGAGAGGGGTGGGGGGGTAAAGCTTTGTCAGATACGAGTCAGCACCTGCTCCTGTCCGCAGATTGGAGCTCCCACCACCTGCGATTATCCTCAGAGTGTGCGCTCCCTCACTGATCCACAACCAGCCGCAGCACACAGCTCCACTTCCGCTTGTAGTTGTCAAAGTAAGAACAGACCACTAGCTATAAGGGTAAGATCTGTGGACTGCTGATTCGATGCCCTTTTTCCATCAATTTTGACATGAATTTTTTTTTTATATAATCATCAATTTTGTTTTCTGGCGAGAAAGCCTCCATTTTTCTAAAGGTCAACTACTGCGGTGCTTTATTGTGAAGGCACATTAGTAGCACTTCTGGTGTGTATCTGCCAACTTGACGCGCTTTGTGATCGCCCCTTTACGCACAGGCTCTGACGCGCCTGTGACGTCACCTAGAAAAAAAAGAGAAAATCTTGTTTAATTGATTTAATCATTTATTCATTTATTTGTCTATTTATTTTTAAAGCTGCTTTTTCTCAAAGATAAACAATGGTGTTGCTTTAGTTTGAAGGCACAATATCAGCACATCTGGAATATCACTGTCTGTATCTGCTAACTTGACGCACTCCCATTGGTTACTTTGGCTCTCATGCTCGGTGACGTCACTCGTCAAAATAAAGAATATTATGTTTGTTGCTTTCATTACAAAACAATGCAACGTGATGTGTCATATTATTCTCAGACTGGATGTATTTAGTTCATACATTTAAACTGTAAGACACCCTGATGATCATTGGTGTGTGTTGTATATGTATGTTGCTTTGAGAAAGGACATTTGTTTTGTCTTCATCTTAAACAGCATCGAGTAGATGTAGGATATTGTTTTTAAATCTCAACCAGTGTAGTACATACCAATGGCTGCCAGAGGGAGACCAAGGTCCCTGAATGAAGTATAATGAATCTGCAGTTAAACATAATCTG